TTATCGTTTCTCTAAATGTCTGACTGAGAGTATTCATTACAGGAAAATTATGTAAACCTCTTGAAATCTGTAAGAATGGGTGTTGAGTTTTGAGTAGGTGAGGGAGAAGAGGGGAAGAGAGGGAAGGGAAATGGAGGGGAGGTGAGGGGAATGGAGGGAAAAGGGAGGAGGGATGGTTAGGGTAGGAAGGGGGAATAATCTCTCTCGTGTCGATTCTTCAAGCTTTCTTTTTGTCTTTATCAGCATATATAATTTCAGTGTCCAGGCGTCTATAATGTAAACAAAAACATATTAACGATCCATAAGTACAATGATTCATTATATTTAAGTCACGAATCAATATACTATTTAAAAATGATACCTGACAGTGTTATAATGATGTCTTTGATGATTCTGATAAAATTCTGAAAAAAAAAATGTTTGTTTACGGTTATTAGGAGAGTAAATCAGTCCTTATGTATCAGTAAGTGGTGATAATCTGTGTCGACCTTCTCATATCATAGTTCTGTAGTTGATTATTATTTTTCCCAGCCGTCCTACTTCCCTGCGACAGTGGTAAGCCAACGATGGTAATTACCTATCTCGTATATGACGCTGATTTAATGAATGTAATTAAAACCTAAACTGATTAACGATTCATAATTGAATTTCTATTACCAATTAGTGCGGAGTGAAATGTACAAAATTGCATTGAATCTTTGTGAATGTGTTTCCGGACAGGTGAGCATTTGTGACTAAGTTAATAAAGTGTGGTTCATTATTGGTAAAAATAATGGCATAAGTAATATTAAAGGGAGGAGAGTCTTAGGACCCCTCATCATATAGACTGATTCCTGAGTCTTGAGTCTTGACGATAGATAACTTGTGTCCAGGTCTTTATGCAGCAGCTCTATGGGGATGGCACTACAGATTGATTGACTGATGGCACTAACTGGCACTAAATGGCACTAAAGCTGACGAACAAATGGGCTATGTTATGGTGCCTGACGTCATCTCACATAGTTCATACGGTCTGTTTTTGACCAACGTAGATTAAGCTATTCCTTATGTCATTCATATCGGGAAATCGTATCTTGATAATTAAAAGTATTCATAATATTTGCTTAAGGAAATTACTAAAACTAGAAGTGTGTTAACTGCATTACATTACACTGATAACCGTATTGATAACATAGTGTTTTAAGAAGCGATACAATGACCTCTCTCTCTCTCTCTCTCTCTCTCTCAGTCGAAGCCTTTAATCTCGGGTTCACCATAACAAGTAAGGTATGTTGTTAGAGCCATCAGTCAGGGGGCAGATTAAGTGCCTTTCACCCCCTCTGACGTTCACCTAATTAGTTACAATTTACAGGAGGTACAGTGGCAGGTAAGTTTATTAGTTGCATTACACGAAACACATCACCTGCCGAGCTCACCAAAACATCACTAAAGAGCATTCTCATTAATTAGTCATAAAGTGGAGAAATTAGTTAAGGTAGTGATGGTACCTTCTCACCTGTACCTGTAGGCTCGAGTCCAAGATGGCAGAGAGATTTTCCCCTGACTGGCTAGATTTATCGTCATTTTAATGGACTCCCAACTTTATCATTACTCATCTTACGTAAATAAATTGTTCCTTAAGGTCTATATATTTTTTTTTAATTTGAGAGCAATTTACGTTATTAGTGTAAAGTAAGATAAAGGAAATTAGTTGTGTATCTTTGACATAATTGGTTATTACGGCCACAGCCAATGAGAAAGTGGTGTTCTAAAGATTCAACAAGCTCCACCATTCGATCAAGAGACAGTCCACACCTATGTCTTGGATTATTAAGACGATTCATCAATTTATCATATATTATTATTTTTAGCCGACAAATTTAAAATATTAGAAATTTTACCTGAATATGAAAATAAATACTGTTATTTGAACAGAGGGCGTGAAGTAACATAAAACTCTCATCAGTACAGGAGAGAGAAACTCACTGCAATATTCACTTACACTAAAACGAACTTTACCATTGACGTGACACTTATTCCCAACTGGTGAGATATTAATATTCAGTCAACTAAACTCCCAACACCTTACGAATGAATAAGTATAAACTCAGAATAGAAACTAGGAACGCGAGGAGAGTAACTGAAGGTGGGAAATATGCAAATGCTAAAACGTAGCTGAGAAGATTGCAGTGGGAAATTTTAGAATTAAGTGAAATAAGATACACAAGTTAAAATAACATTAGTGGAATTTAATATTACTTTATATATTACCCAGATGCTGAAGACCATGAGAGAGGTGTAGGCAATCATGTAGAGCAGAAGTTTGTTTGTTGTGTAAAAGATAAAAGTCGGAGAGTTCTATTACTTAACTTTAATGGTAAGACTATCAACATGCAAATTATTCAGATTTATTCACTAAAAAAAAAAAAGACTAAATTTTCATATAAATACTGATAACCGAAGCTGTACAAGAGGAGATAGAGTGATAAATACCCTCATGTATTTACACTGTATAATAAGG